CTTGCGAAGTCTACCCACTGAGGGTTCTGGTTATGGAACCATTTTGCTGTTTAAGATGTAGATCGTTAAAGAACAAAGGCACAATCATCTGTTCCAGCTTCCATGATAGCACGGAGATTATTCTGTATCTCTTTTTCCCCTCTCACAATCTGCAGCATTTTTTTTCCTTGACTATGAGATCTTTCTTAATGTTCAATTAAATTATTTTAATTTTCAAGCAAAACCCCTTTCGGAGAAGAATTTTAATAAGCTCGTGCTCTTTTTCATTCCCAACCCCTCRCTGCATAGGTATTTGCTCCAGCCATATGTTTCTGATACTGTACATTTCAATAGTTTCCTGGATTATGCACTGCATTTTTTCCATTTATGAAAACCTTTCCAGCTCTGAAATATAGTTACCAGGAAAATACTCATTTCACTGCATAGAAGGAAAAACCATCTTGAGTTAGCTGAGACTTGGGGATAGATGGAGAAGGAAACTAACAGTATCTGTCATTTTGATTTACTGCAGAAGTCAACAGTTCTCTGACAGRAATCAAATGTGACTTGGCAATGTAGAGTAAATGGAGACTGTGACGATTGATTTCACAGTGAAGATAAATTCTCATGAAATGAACATTATTGTGTGTTTATGAAAAGGCTGTGTTGTGAAATTATTCAATTATTTTCATGTTACTTTCCAATTAAATCTTAAAAAAAAAAAAACAAAACAAAACGAAAAAGGTGAGGGTGGGAAAAAGAAAACTTTGCCTGAAATAGTTACAGTATTACTTAAAAAACAGGGAGGTTAGGTTTGTTTTTCAACAAAGTGAGTAATATATTTAAAGTTTTTGAGGGGGCCATCTACTTAATTTATAGACACTATGGAAGACCTTTGCAATGGACTYCTCTAGTTTACTTACCTTAGGAGTACTAGACATGAAAACAAAGTAAAGTAAAGTGAGTGCCCTGTGATTCCTGGGCCATTTTTGGCCGCGTCCATCTACATGAGTCTGCCTTTAAGAAAGTGAAACTGAGTTGTGGGGTCAAGCAGTGTGTGTCTTAACCTAAAGCTGTCAAGAAAGTGAGTGCTATTTTGTGTTAACCATCTTTTCTCCTCCACAGGAAACTCTTGGCAAGGTTGGGTTTTTTTGACTGGATAAAGAGATCAAATATATTAAGAGTAKTTTAAAATAATTATGCTATAGGAAAAAAAGAATGTTTACAGTACCACTGTAGCACATAGGGTGAAGTTGTGTAGATGTAGCTGCTGACTGACTTCATTAGGCAGAGCTAGGAATGGAGGAGAGAGGATTTTGTCAGCATCTCTGCTCACATTCAGTAGATTAACCTATCATGTTCTCATTGCTGAGTATGTGAAACTGTTGTTTAGAGTTCAAGAGCAAACAAAAGAAATTCTGCCCATCCCACCAAAGTTTACCTTCCTTACAGAATTTCATTCCAACCACTTGATTTATTCTTTATTTCCTGTAAAAACTACTCACTTAYTGGTGCTTTTTCTGTTACCCAAGGACTGTAGCCTGGGACAAGAACTGTAGTCTTAAATGTGCTTCCCTTTAGGATCTGTGCAACAATCCCACCTCTCCCACCTCCCCTAAGAGGACAGGCACTCATTATTTATCATGATCTTGCCCTGTTGACTACAGAATCCACATGGCACTATTTTGACAGATTGTCTATTGTTCTAAAGTAATCCCTTATCTTTGCAGTAGTGTAATTACACTTTTTTCCTGATTTACTGGTCAAGAAATTGTTATATTACTGTACTACAACTCTATTTAAATATTATTTGCCTTTTAATTAGAGAAATTATGAGTTAAAAACTCATCTTCATTTGCTTCAAGCAGATMAAAAGCTTCCTTTCCACCGCTTCTCCAGCTCTGGAGAGATGAATTTTTTTTTTATAGGAGTAGAGATTCCTCTAGGCACAGGTTTTGGGGGTGGTAAATGGTAGTAGTCTGAAGTGTTTGTTGAGTTGGTGAAGTTTCAAGCCTTCCCTACCAATATTGGAATCAACAACCACAGAATGAAGAAGGGTCACCTGGTGGAGAGTCCCTGATCAGCAGTCATTCTCTGTTCCTCTTCAGACGTATTCCTTTCCTTGGAGCCAGAGGAKCAGAACTGGTGTGTGAAATTCTGCCTTCCTTGCAGAGGAAGATCCCACCAGTTCTCCTYGAGTTTTACTTTCCCACCCAACCAGGACCCAGATGAAACCAAGTTAAGATGTTGCTTTCCTCCCCTCTGTGRTTCTGTGTGATAGGAGTGTGAGGCGCAAGTGCAAAGCACAGAACTGTTCCTTTTGCTTCCACAGGAGTCGCTTCCTGAGAGCCAAATGCCCCTCAGCACTCATGGAGCAGTGGGACAGAACCTGCCMTCCCTGCTCCAGAGCTGACTGGYTGGGGCAACCTTGTCAAAACAGATCTTGAATCTGACAAACAGATGAATGTCCAGAGGAGAGCGAGCAAAAGGCCRTTTTGAGGGCACACAATAGGACTGAAAATAGAACTGCCTGATGAGGGATTTTAGCTACTGACTCCTGAGTACACTCTGYCTGTCAGGAATCATATTGCACAGGGAACTGTGTTGTCTAGTAGGACCCAGGAAAGCACACTGTGTGTGCTAAGGGAAAGGTATCGCTACATATTTTGGATGTCTGTATGTTGTTCTAGAAGGGGATGGAGCACAGCTTGATTCTGGGACTCCAAATGTACC